TGTTTAATATTAAAAATTAAGAAATTTAGGAATTGGATTGTTCATAATAAGAGTGAAAACTGGAAAAAATATAGAGGATGTATTTAATCACTTCAGCTCCTTTACTGAACACCATTGAAGACTTCATATTGGGTGGATCAAATTAAAATATGCTCTTTAAGGCGTCTGACGGAGTTGACACAAATTAAGTTACGAAGTGAATAAATATACATTTTTGGAAAAAAACATTTACTTTCCAAAAAAATGGGAAAATTACCAAAAAATGTCCTTTCTCTGCAAATATATCAATTTCTAAATAATGTATCATTAAACAATAAAAACTCACATTTTAAAACATGTTTTGTGACCCTGGACCACAAAACCAGCCTTAAGTGTCAATTTTTCAAAATTGAGATTTATACATCACATGAAAGCTGAATAAATAAGCTTTCCATTGATGTGTGGTTTGTTAGGATCGGACAATATTTGGCTGAGATACAACTATTTGAAAATCTGGAATCTGAGGGTGCAAAAAAATCTAAATATTGAGAAAATCATCTTTAAAGTTGTTCAAATGAAGTTCTTAGCAATGCATATTACTAATCAAAAATTAAGTTTTGATATATTTACGGTAGGAAATTTACAAAATATCTTCATGGAACATGATCTTTACTTAATATCCTAATGATTTTTGGCATAAAAGAAAAATGGATAATTTTGACCCATACAATGTATTGTTGGTTATTGCTACAAATATACCCCAGCGACTTAAGACTGCTTTTGTGCTCCAGGGTCACATTTATGCAGCTACAGCTATGGAAAAAATTAAGAGACCACTTGAAAATTCTCAATTTTTCTGGATTTACAATTTATAGTTATGTGTCTGAGTAAAAAGTAATAGCTGTTTTATTCTGTAAACTACTGATGACATATCTTCTAAATTTTAAATGTTGTCATTTAGTGCATGAAATGGCAATTGGTCAAAATAACAAAGAAGATTACATGTTTTCAGGCATGTTTACATTCAATTTTAGACAGCAGCACAATATCAAAGTTCAAACTTCAGAAGGGTTAAGAAATCAATATTTGGTGGAAAAACATTTGTTATTTGGACAAATTGTCATTTCCGGCAAAACAAAATGCTCTAAATAACAATATTTTTATTTGAAATTTGGAAGAAATTTTTTCAGACCTTTCTAGAATGAAACAAATATTAACATTTCACTCAAACTCATACCTAGTAAATCCAGAGAAACTGAGATTTTGAAGTGGTCTCTTAAATTTTTCCATAGCTGTATATATATATATATATGTGTTGTCAAGAGAAAAATGAGAAACAAGAGACCAAAAAATGCAGATGAGCTGAAGGCCACTGTCAAAGAAACCTGGGCTTCCATACCACCTCAGCAGTGCCACAAACTGATCACCTCCATGCC